TCATGCTCATTTACACATAATTTAACAGTATTATATTCGACCGCATTGCTGATATATAGGGCAAATCCGCCACCTCCCTTTTTGGTTCGGTCTCGTCTTAGCACTTGATCGATATCGCTGCAGACAGTGTGACTCATGTCAAAGAACAAGGTCTACTGGAGGAGGTGGCAGACGGCTACACATTCATATGGAGCGGGGAGGTGGAGGAGGAGGAGGAGGAAGAGGAGGAGGAGGGGGAGGAGGAGGGGGAGGTAGTGTTGGGTGTGTGGTAGATGCTGCGCATGCCAACACCCATTTAAGCTAATGCACCAGCAAATGTCCAAATGTAGAAGACTGAGAACCGTCCGATGGGAAGGTGTATTCATTTGAGCATAAGTACGAGGATGGAGGAGAGATGTCATGATATTTATGAGCATAATGTGCGTGTTTGTGTTTGAGGGGAGTGGCGGACATACAGTCAACCTGCATTGCCTATCTCTTAGTGTTGCATTTATGGCAATCCCTTCTAATGTAATCAGAACCGAGTGCGACGGATGAAGGAAGAAAGGGAAGGAAGGAAAAAGACGAGGAGGAGCGCGTGCGGTAGACGCAGCGCAGGTCTTCTGCCACTTTAAATATAATTGTGCACAATTCAGCGTGCCTGCTCCCAGCCTGTTGTGGAGTATGCGGTGGACACCATCGGTTACGACTTTCGAATTTTCAGTCAGTATCAGTCATTATATTTCTTCATCCTTCGCCCCTTCAGCCCGCCTCACAGGCTGCTAGGATAAGTCCGTTCACACTGGCAGGCTGGAATATGCGTTCCCTATTGGATAATCCCAGTGGCAATCGGCTGGAAAGAAGAACGGCGCCTGTTGATTGGGAATTTGCGTGCTACTGCAATAACCACCTCGAGATGCGAGCTAATTCAGGTGAGGTGATGCAGCGTGTGTGCTCCGTCAGTACGATCTGGTTATGTAGCCGCACCTGATGGACATTATACTGTTGACTTTCTCAATTATGTTGAGTTGGTGTGAATTGGTGGCACGGTGTTGCTGTGCGTTGCCGTGTGTTTCCTGTTGACAGCCTTGTTTCTTTGTTGCTGTGCCTACCTTTTTCGGCTCAAATGCAGGTGCTCATTCTTGACTTTCGGCCTGTCGTCTCCTTCAAACTTTCGAGTTGGAAGTTTTGGGGTTAGGATTTGGGGCTGCGGATAGGGTAAGGATTGGGATTGGGGTTAGGGTTAGAGGTTGGGGCAACTATTTCTCAACCACTCGAAGTACAACCGCGCATTCCAATCGCTTTCCTTGTCGTACAATTACTTGACCTCGTTGCCTGTGTTTTCTCGGCCCAACCTGTAAATAACTCTACTAACATCTGTCCCATTGTCGGCATCTCTTTCGGCGTCACCGCCAGAACTGACGTTTCCGCCTTGACTATTGCCGTCCTTTCCTTCCGGATCACAGTCCGAACCGTCATCCCCGATTTCGACTTAAACACTGCCGGCATCTCGTTCCTCATCACC